CACACACACACACACACACACACATTTTCTTATAAAACGTGGCACCATTTAAAGGGGAATAAACAGGCTTTTCAATAGGATGAAATTTACTGCGCAGGAGCACAAAGAATAATCAACCAAATAAAAATGTTTTACTTTTGGTTTGAAGTTCATTTGTGACATAACAATTCAGGTAGTGTACCTTTTACTGTCAGTAAAACCAGCCATCATCTCAAGCAATTCTTCAGTGTTGTTAAAACGTTGCATCCATGGAAACATTTCAAACAACTTTGTCTTCTTCCCATATAATATGAGCCCAATGTTGAGCGCGATCAATGCAATACGTTTAGTGGTGTGTTCCTCTGTTTTTAATCATGAAACACATTGCATGAGTTAAGAAGAACCACATGTAGTTTGAATCGTGAAAACAAAAAGAGAAAAAGAAAATGTAGTCTGCTCTTGATCAAGTATTTTTGCTACGTGCATTTAAGAATCAAAGGTGAAAATGAACAAAAGAACACATTTGTTTTCTGGTACTTAGTGTTACATGTGATTTGCTTAAACCGAAGACCACTTCACTTCAGGTCTGCAACCAAACAGTTTCTATGGTGACAGTGTTATGTGTGATTATACTTCTTTGCTGCCTCCGCCTGAGGCCAAACAAGTGGTACAGTGTGTGTGTGCGATTGAGTGTGTGTGTATCCACTGCAGGGTGGGGCCCAGTTCTTCCTCGCACAGCCCTTCTCTGTATGTTATAAACAGTGGTTGGTAGGGCTGGGAGATGACCTACTTGGAAAAGCACGCACCGTACCGGCAGGAAATAGGCAGCGCTGTGTCAGAATGAGAACATTTTGAAGGAAACATTCAAAAGGTGCCAGTGCTGCAGCTGTCCAAAAGTCCAGCACTGGGTAATGGTCTAAGCTAAGGGGCAAATACTTGTATATTCAGGTTTAAGAATTGTACAGGAAGTGTAAAGAGAAGCAAGATTAGAAGAAGCAGTCATTATGAGAAAAAAAGTTGTACTAGAGTAAAGTCATAATATTACTTTGAGTCCTGTTACTGATGATAATTTAAGTGTTGAAAGTATTTCCTTTTTTGTAAAACCAATATCAAAGTATAACTTCACAAGAGGTTCAACATTCCTCATTTTAAAGCTGGGGTAAAACCAGTTTTTCATGTAGGATTTCTTGTAATATTACAACTTTATTCTGGTAATATGACTTTATTATCAAAATATTACAACTTTATTAATTTTTTTCATTTATTTAT